CACATACTCGGTATCGATGTGCCCATCGACCTATTTTCACTTTAAAAAAAATCCCAGAATTGCACAAAAATGGCACTGCACACACCCTTGGCTTTATCTATGTCCACATCGACCTATTTTCATTTAAAAAGTAAAAGAAAATTGACAAAAATCCAATTGTTTTTACCCTCGTAAAAAGCGGCGAACAAATAAGTGAGCATTCTGCCTTACTGGGAATATTTCAAAGAAAAGCATCATTCTTATAGAAATTACGTCTGAACACCAACGAGATGAAATTATGCTTTAGCGATAGTCGGCAGCGAAATAGCGATGCAGCAGTATGTTTAACAATTTTTATATAAATTATAATAATGATCCGAAATAGTTACTGACTCTTATGCTTCTATTCAGTCATGTTTAGCCTTTTGTTTTTCAAAAATTATAATAAAAAAGTTTATATAAAAATTAACTTTCATCTAAATTAAAACATCATCTTTAGATAGTAATTTACTATTATACCTCCTTTCTTGCCGTAATTGTTAGGGTTGCCGCAATTATTTTTGGCAGCATTGGCATCAGCAATAGTTTGGCGACTTTTTACGGCCCTCGAAACCGGAATAGTACCGAACTTTGTTACCATCGCTAGAAGATCAATCCCCGTTGCTTTCCAAAGCTTCAGAAGTACATACTGTTCGTAATAGATTGAATGCACAAGTCCGATAAAAGGTTAATAAAATTTATTCTTATCAAAAGAAATATATCAGAATGCTTGAAATTTCCTCAGAGATATTCGCTCAAGTGTTCACAATATCACGCAGTATAATCAGTACTTATATTTCAAACTACTAAAAATGTTAAAATACAAAGCAATGCAAAGCGTTATCTAAAGAGAAAGCTAATTCAGATATCTCAGTTCACGCGGAACTAAATAAATCTCAATAACAATAACTAAGCAACTAAGTAAACAACAACTGAGCTGAGGTGTCTTTTCCCGGCTTTAAATAGTTTTCAACCGGCCGCGCGATATAGTACTAACATTTTCTGCTTCTCGAGATTTCTGGAAATCAGTAAGGGGATGGAATTAGGGTTACAGTAAATATAGTGGTCAATTACATTTATTAAATTTCAATACTGTTACGGTATTGGTATTTAAATAGCTAATGTTAGTTGAATTGCAAATTAAATGGTTTTATTTCCCGCGCAGTGCAGCTCGTGACGAATATTAAAAGAAAGCTAAGCCGGAAAATTTAAAATACAAGAGCGCGTGCATGTAACATTTAATAAATATCCCTTTTTGATTTCGAGAAAGTTCCAGAAAGTTCTCGCGCGCGATTTAAAAATCTTATAAGATGGAGGAAAACCTCTCAATTCAGTCAGTCATTATTTTAGTTAGGTTTGTTGTTGTTTTTAAGAGTTTGTTTAGAAAACTGCTTGTTGATTGTAGCGAATTCGCGGATTAGCTTTCTTTAGCTGTTTTGAATTAAGTTCTACTGAACGTTTGAGTAGTTAAAAGATATCTATTGTGAGATATTGTAATACTGCACGATAATTTGAGGAAATGTAAGCATATTTGTTATGATAACAATAAATTTTGTTCATTTTTCATCGGACTTGTGCATTCATTTCGTAATGAACCCGTATGCGCGCAACAATACAAATTGTAGAGACATTAGGTATTTTTGGCAGCAGGCAAGATGAAAAATGGGCAATGCCTTCGCCGGGAATCGAACCGCGGATCTCTTGAATACGCGCCCAGCGTGCAGACCACTACACCACAAGGGCACGCTAAGAAGGCGGGAGACATACCTTATAAAATTACCGAGATATCGATTTACTCAATGTTAAATGCACGCGCTGCATTGCACGGGGGAATAAGATAATTTTAATTACCGTGTTTGCCAGTGTATAAGACGCAGCGGCCTATAAGACGCACTCCCTTTTTTATGCACATTTTTGAAGGATAAAACTTTATTACTGATCATTACAATGAATTTACGGTATTTTAAATATAAATTAATACAAATACAAAGTAATAATTTCTGCAAAAACCTAACCTATGAGTTGCTTTTTTTACATCCTTTTCCTGATTCCACCAAGTTCTTATCATTTTCACAGTTGAGGGTAAAAGTAAAAGAAAATTGACAAAAATCCAATTGTTTTTACCCTCGTAAAAAGCGGCGAACAAATAAGTGAACAATTCTGCACTTTACTGGGAATATTTTCAAAGAAAAAGCATCATTCATTATAGAAAATTACGTCTGAACAACCAACGAGATGAAATTATGCTTTAGCGATAAGTCGGCAGCGAAATAGCGATGCAGCAGTTATGTTTAACAATTTTTATATAAATTATAATAATGATCCGAAATAGTTACTGCAAAATGCAAAGAGGCATTTTCACAAAATGCCTCTTTGCAGCCCTGTTTCCATGTTCTTTAGCATACGTACTCACAATTGTATGTTATGTTATAGCAATGCAGACATTGTTTTTGGACCATAACTGGCCAACAAATTTAAGAAAACTGCACAGTAGAAATTTCACACACTTAAAAGACGTTCACAAAAATTGGAATGCTTAAACGAACTCGGCTGTGACAGTCGATAAAAAATGTATTCACATTCACTGAACTCTACGCAATTGTAATATTCCCACACTCCGCAAGGAAGCAAGAAAAAATCTCATAACTCCGAATACAGAAAATTTCCAGAAATGAATGTAATAAAATACTCAGATTTCTACGTCTAAGCCTCAGAATTGACGTATAAGACGCAACCTGTTTTTCAGACCTATTTTCAAAGAAAAAAGTGCGTCTTATACGCTGGCAAATATGGTATAATTCTACTAAAATCAGTATCTAAATACAAAATTCGTAACAATATATATTTTTTAGATTTAGATTATTTTTAACGTATTTTATAAATTAAATAACAACGGTATAGAAAATGTTGATAAATACCAAAAACATGAATAATAATAGTTATTTTTTTATATTTATAAACCAAGACTAAATACTTAACAGCTAAATAAAGGGGTGACTGAATTCCCCCTGAAACTATGAAACCTCTCCAGGGGAATTTGCCCCGGTTGAGAACGCATGTTCTAATATAAAATACACTCATGTCCATACATTAAGGATAATGCAAAATCAGGCAAAGGAAGAGTTAGAAGCAAAACAAATTTGACTTATTGGAAAAGCTTACTTATTAAACAAAAGGTAAAGAGCAAAAAATGATGCTATATGTTTGATATTATTAAAAAAAAATTAGCGATTTTTTCTCCCTGTAGCAAATTACAAAAAAAAAAAAAAAAAAAATAAAAAAAAAAAAAACCCTATTTACAAAAAAAAACAATATTACATGGTTGGTATAATGTTAATACATTGTATGTCTCCCGACGATGCAATACAGTCCGTACAACGCCTAGGCATGCTGAGTATCAAATTATGATCTGATCTTGGGATATTACAACCACTCAAAAGAAACTCTCCGAAGTTCCGGTAAACATGTAGGAGGAGGTTGACAGGCTGCAACTCGTCGGCCAAGTATATCCCATACGTGCTCTACTGGATTCAAGCCTGGTGAGAATGCTGGCCAGTCCATACGGGTGATATCCTCCGATTGAAGGCATTCGCTTACCATGTTTGCACGGCGAGGACGGGAGTTGTCATTTCCAGAATGACGTCCCGATAGATTTGGCTTGTCATGGTTCCAATTTGAACATGCAAGTCAGTTCTGGAACCCGAATAATTCCACCCCAAACGAGCACTCCTGCACCACCGTAACGGTGTCGTTCAATGATGTTTTCTTGGTGGTAACGGGTACCTGGAGGTCTCTATATGAAAGTCCGGCGAGAATCAGACTACAAGCTAAACCTGGACTCGTCGGAAAACATCACACAAGCCCACTGTTGCGGTGTTCACAATGCATACTCTCTACTCCAGGCTAACCGCAGGCGACAGTGCATTTCAGTAAGTGAACGCATCTGACAGGTCTAACGAGCATATAGACCAATCTGCCCTAAGCGTCTGTACACGGTCTGCCTTGAAATGATGTGTACCAGTGGCTGAAGAGAGCTGACGAGACAGGTCTGAGGCTGTGCTCCGCCTGTTTCTTTTGGCAGTAACTGCCAAATACCGTCCTCATTCGGCGTTGTAACTCTGGGGCGACCTGTGCTGTCCGTCTACTCACATTACCATCATCTTGGAATCGTTGCCAAGCCTGGAGATGAACACTCTGGGCAATTCCAGGTTCGTCTGATACTTCCAGTTGGTACGCCCACATTCCAGACGGCCGAAATTCTACCACGTAAAAACATCCAAATGCGTCCTTTGTGTCAAACTATTCGGTTTTGCACTGAAATGCTTATAAAGCGCCTGCGAACAATTTTACTTCTTTGCCTGTATTCCTTATATATCACTCTCGTCATTGTGACGTACCATCGGTGTCATCTGGTTACTTCCTGAAATTTGCATATGATTCTTGAAGATGCGTGTAGTGATTTTACAGGTGATATATTTATTTTAGAGTTCGATTTCCGCGTGACTCCGAATTATCCTTAATTTATGGACATGAGTGTAGTTGAAGCTGTTTAATGGGTAATCGATATTTGACAAGAGGAACTGGGTTGTCTATTTGAATTGCAAATATTAAGATATAAATGTAGCCCGTGAAAGAATAGTTCTACGGATGTCCCATGTATAGATGACGTTTGTTTATATAAACAAACGCTTATCAACTTTATGAACTTCCGGCAATGTAATTTATTAATAACTTAAATTCTAATTGTACAGTGCATCAATAAGAGATGTTGTTTTAATCGCAGTATAGTTTCACTGTAGTGCTACAACTTGAGAGCACGAATGCAGAATTAAAACATTTGGATAGAAATTAATAGCGCAATCAAGCTCACATCGCGATTTGATTCTTTGGACTTCAGAGGTATGTTATAAAACAGCTCTGAATATTAATAATTTTGATTTAAAACATGTTGGAAAAAGTATGGAATGATGTATATTTCTTACGATTTCCAGCTCCATGTAATCATTGCTGCTTCCGCTGTCTATTCGAACCAGAACAGCGTTGTCTGTAGAGCTGATGAAACCCAGTGCTAAGAGATCGCTCTTCGTATCCGGCCTTTTGTCGGAAGGGTAAGTGAATGATATAAGACCTCCTTTCGCTCCAAACTTGTAAGAAATACTCTCTGAAAAAAGAAATTTAAATGATAAAAATGTGATATATTTATAAAGAATAAAGCGTAAGAAAATTTATAACTTTCGCTGTTATTACGCTCTTTAAAAATTCAAAATCATTTTGAAAGTTTGCAACCATTTCGTTTTAAATATGAAAATTTTACATTTAAAAAGGAAATGTCAGCATTAGAGCTGTAATTTAGGTTTATTAATTTCAATTAATATTCGCTCATGTTACATTAAAATATCTTCAGTGAATTTTATTGCGCTTGAATATTTGAACACACACTGAATGAAAATAAAATCATCGATACTTATTGAGTTTCACTGAATAAAATAACAAAATATGAAAAATAATTTTTCCTAGGTTTGCAACTGCTTATTTTAAAAACGGTCACAATAAGAAGAAGTTAAAATGGCCACCCAGCTCGCCGCATTTAACAGCATACGATTTCTTTTTTGGGAGTTTAATAAACACCAAGTTTATATACCGCCATTGCTCGTGTTAATTGTGGAAGTTTGGGCCGGATAAAGCATGCAGACCATCACGGTAGACAAAATAATAATTCTAGTCAAAATTTCAGGATTTGTGCTTTTCAAATTATTTCTCTTCATTTGATAACGCTTTAGCACTTTCTCTCTTAAAAAGCTTTTCTCTCACACCCAGCCATTTTCTTCTTGAAGGTTGGATATGCAAAATATAAAATATCTATCTTTCAAACAATAAATTAATAATAGCCCTTTAATTCCCTTTTTCATTCCAAATAACAGAGCAGTAATTTCTCTAACTCAACTCCCTGCAATCCTGATGCGCATTTATCGATGAAATCTGAACCCAACATCTGGACATCAAACTGTCATATGATCTGAAATGCAATCCGGCATAAAAGGTCAATTGCGTCGCAACCCTCTCTTCGCTCTTCACCTCTTCTCTTTTTCGTTGGCTCGCCCTGCCACTAGTTTTACTTTTCCAGTTTCGTCCATTCTTTAAGATTATATCTTAAAATTATCATCTGTACACAGCTGAGGGCACCCACAGTGATGATGCACATGATCAAGCAATAACATTATATATATATATATATATATATATACCTATCTAATAAAATTTTTGAACTATATCGTAAGATATCAAGTGTCCTGATGCGAAATTAAGCAAGAGTACTGGAAAACAAACAATAAACAAAAGAGGAACACAAAGTTAAATAAATAAAGATAAGAAAGGATGATAATTAACATTAAGCAAACACATGTTAATTTATCAGTAGTGAAAAAAATCAAAATGAAATAAACTGCTTATACTAAAGTATTAAGTTATCGGTAAAACATAATATCATAATACAAACAGGAAAGTAACCAGAACAAAATAAACAAGGAAGAATATACAAAAAATATAATAACGAATAAATAAATAAAGTATAAATCTTCCTTTCATAAAATTCCGCTCAAAAATTCAAAGTGCATCGGATTACATCTGATAATTAATATTAAAAAAGCAAAAAAGGGAATGAATTACAAACACGATATTTTCTCGAAATAAAACGTTCTGTAAAAGTTATTATTTCAGAAATTAAGGAAAAAATTCCCAAGAAAAGAGTAATGAAAATAAATTGCAATTAAGAATAATCAATCAAGATTAAAAGAATTTTCAAAACGAAAATGTAAAAGTTGAGAAAGAAATCCGTTAGCTGAAGATTTTTGATTAGAAAAGAGAGCTGGAAGATAATCACTTTCAAACCTATGGGAGGACCAGCGATTCTGATTACATTATCAAAATTTTTCATAAAGGCATCAACTTTCAGCGGGCGTAATTAAGTTATTTTTAAAACAAAAAAAGAAGATTCATTTTCATATTAATACGAAAATTAAAGTAATGAACCTTTTTCAAAGTAATTTTACTGTATTTGAAAGGGCAAGAAACTACAAAATAATAAAAATTTTATGGCATGTAGTAAACTATAATAAATAAGGTGTATAAATGAAAACTGAGTAAATAGTTAAGCAAAATATCGGCTAGAAATTGCAAGTATAAAATAGAAAATATCACAAACAAATATTGTGACAAAAAAATTGCAAACGAAATAATAAACAATAAGGTTAAATATTTAGCTAAGTTTTAGGGAAGAATATTCTTTTAAAGAAATAAAATGTATGGAAGAAGGGAAAAAACTGAAAAAAAGCGCCAGAATAAAAATCTTAGTTATTTAGCAATAAAATTACGATTGTTGAATGCATTAAAGAATGAAATAACTTCTCAACTGAGAATAGGAAAAGAAAAAATGTAACATTCCTTATATCTTTCATTTTTTCACACGAAAGCAGAGGTTACATATTGTATTAAATAAAAATACTTTTCTGCAGTGAAATAAGTGATACCCTTAGGGAAATCATTAATTTGTAAATGATGGTAATGATGTCATAGTTGATTATAATTACAAGAAAGTCACTTAAGGAAGAAAATCTGTTTAATATAGCGAGAGAGTTACTTCCTCTCTTTATGACTGTTCAGACATAACGCGGCTTAAAAATTAGGCCAAACAAAGGAAAATATGCTTAAAAATCTTAAAAAAAAAGGGTAAGAGGAGAAAAAAAAGTTTTTGAGCGAAAACGAGATCATAAGCTACGCATATTTAAGCAGATAAACAAGAGGGAGTCATTAAAGTAATTCAAATTAAAAACAACTTACAAATGAACGTAGAAGAAATGACAGTGGGAATGAAATCATATTGTTAGGCTTAGATGATTCTGTTTGACGGAATGAATCATTAACTCCTTGTGATCAAACTTTCCTTATTAATACCATTGAGCAGTAAAATATTTATAGATGATTTAAAGCATAAGCATTTTAATGATAACGTTTTTACGGTATAAAAATAAATATATATTTTCATTAAGTAATGCCCCTTCAATTTTTAGTACAAAGAGATTGCAATGCAATATAAAAATTTCCACTGGCTAGTCAGTTTTTTATGTAGTTAAATTCGAAGCTAATTTTTACTTCTTTGTACGAAGTAAAAAGGAAATATTGTAATCGCGAAAAGTTTCAGGCAGCATATTTCAACGAAAATATCCATTTTGACTGCAATCGAATGCAATTTAACGATGTTTTTGCGTGCCATCTGTACGTAAGGACAAAATAAAATACTCTTTTCCTTCAAAAAAATTATAAAACTTCTTTAAAATGAATTTTGAAGAGAATTTTTCGTGGCGTCGGTACGAACGTATGTACGTACGTATCTCGCATAACTCAAAAACGAGTAACCTCAGAATGTAACGTTGAAATTTTTTATATAGGACTACTATAACATGTAGATGTGCACCTCGTATTTTGGTTGCAATCAGCAGCACAAAAGGTATATAAATATATTTATACATACTATATCCACTCTGTTACGCGGCTGAGTGATCTCAGTTTCTTTACTCTTATATGTTTGTAAATTGTACATTTTCTGCTTTAAAAATGATTGAATTATGTTGTTCTTATCTTCCGGTTAAGGGTTTTATGCCTTTAGTAAATCTCTATGCAATATTTTTAGAATTATCAACAATTTTAAAGTTGTTTAAGTGTCGCTAAGCCTAGTACTATTCTTGATGACGGCCATTGTTTGTTTACATTTGAAACAGCAGGATAGTGGATTTGTGGCCAATCTAGAGAAACTTTGCTTCGCAACAACAAAGATAACGCCTTCATTTATTATTGCCAATTAAATCATGCTTAATCCTTTCTGGAATTTTTTGAGGAATTAAGTGTTTAAGATTTACTTCTTAATTTTTAATACAGATATTTCGAGTTTTTATGTATTTTTGCCTTCTCGCGAAGTGAGAACTGAATTAATTGAATGAGAAATACTCAATCGTCTGTGAAAAACATTTTCTTTTTTGTTTTGTTTGCTTAATTTCTTTTATACATCATTCTAGCTTTATAGTATTTGAATAGAACATGTGGCAATGATTAGATAATTATATTCTTTAAATGAATTAAATTTTGTGCATTCTGAGTTATAAAATGAACGAAATATACGAAATACTGTTAAGTGAACCTAGCGCCAGAGTGTCACTATGGTAAACAAAGTGAATTTTAAAGAATGCATTTATTCTATTGTGGTTTATGCGCTGTCGGCGAAGTAGATTTAATTCAATCCAATAAGTTTAAAGGAAATGCAAGAAATAATGCGTATAATTTAATATTCCGTACAAGGAAGTCATGTGGTGTACGCATCAGATTTTTTATAAATTGTTATTGTGGTCAGAATTCCTATTAAGGAAGTAATAAACTAATGAAATATTCAAAGAAAGTAATAAATGAAGAATGGATCAATATGGAAGAATGGTCCATACGACCGGGAGTTTTGAGCAGCTGAATAAACTGAATCTTTAAATGCAAGAAAGAAATGCAGATATGATAAAATTCACTGAATGTTTGGAAGAAAAAAAGGAAAAGAAAAAAAGGAAAGTCTAATATTAAAAAAGTCTAATATTGGAAAAGAAAGTCTAATATTAAAAAGGTTTCTCTGCTTGAGAAATCGCTATCGGTCCTTTACTCACATGGGAAAGAAAAACGATTCCGCAATTTCTAAAAAATGAAAATTACATCACTTGAATGCACCGGAGATTACATTCAATTTATGTTTTCTAGAATTTAACGATTATTATTTGGATTTACCAATAAACTAGTTCAGATATTCCTAATGAATATCAAGATGATTTCCGAGGCTGAAGACTGATTTAGAAACACAATTTACGATGAAAAACGAGATCACAGAATTTTGAGTCTTGATGTATCTAAAGCTCAGAAAAACATCTATCTATGTATTGTTTTTATTTGTGCCAACATAAAGATCTTTATGAGTCATATTTTTCAACTTCACTGAAAATGAAAATGAAACAGTAGAATAGATTTAGACATTGAAAATGATTGAATCTTTTCAAATATTTATCAACATACATTAAATTTAAACTAAAACTCAGTGGCGTAACAGCCTTAATGGGCCAAGACCTGCAGTGCCCCAAATATGATTTCTTGACCGTGGGCCCCGGGGTGTGCACGCATATACCCTGAACAAGTGGTCAGCTTGTTGCAGGACCCCCAGCTTTCATTCCCGAAGCGAACTTGGTACTCATTTTATCGACCCAAGCGATGAAAGGCTGAGTCGACCTTGCCCAGGCCGGGAATCGAACCCCGGACCTGTGGTGCTGCTGCGCGATACGCTAGCCACTGCACCACCGGACCTCACCTTAGATTTAGTGAATTAAACAAAATGACAGATTTCTCCTTTGCTTGCTTTCTTCATAACAATTAAATGAGTCTAATTACTGGAATTCTTTAAACTTTTTATTTGTCGATTTGGTGTGTTAAATAATTTATTTTATAGCTTGTTCAGTTAAAAGTTTAATTAAAAATTTTACACTTAGTTATTCCTAAAATATTATCAAAATTTTAATAGAAATAAATTTGGGTGTAATTTCATAACATACTGAAATAAATTAATAAATTATGTTAAGGGAACTCATACACCTTAAACCCCTCATGATCTTCGAATATGTGACTGTTGCAAGAATTGGAATATTTTATTTATTTTAAAAGTAATTACTTCCAACTTTTTACAGCTGACTACATAACATAGCTGCTTTGGAAACTAGTAACCAGAAAGTTTGTGTTGCCACAAATAGTTTTGTAATTTAATCCTCTTTGTGACAAAATATTTTGCCATGTTTCCACCTTGCGCGCATGATATTTTAAAAATGACCAATGGTGCATATTTGAAATTTTATGGAATTCTTTATATGGGCACTATTTTCTAACTGAACCAACAATGTGATGAATATTTTAATACTGAAAAATTTTATGGACGAAAACTTTACAATTTTTTAATAAAATACATTTTATAAAACTCCACTCCAAAAATAAAATTTAACATGATATTTTTAGAAATTTTCACAGTAGTTTCCAAATGTTAAAAGCTATATATTAAATATGGAATTAAATTTAAACTGTGCGGCAAGTTGGAACACCGACGAAAATGTTTAAAATATTTGTGGCAACACAAACTTTCTCATTTTTAGAAGCTATATTATGTAGTCAGCTGTAGTATAAGTAATTACTTTAAAATAAATAAGTTATCCCAATCCTTGCAACAGTCACCTCTTCGAACATCTTATGGGTTTTAAGGTATATGAGTCCCCTTAAATTTTATATATTATTATCTGGATGTGCTTCAGAGCAAAAAAGGGGGAAATGCGATTCTGACATATGTAAGAGAAGGCAAAGGCCTGGAAAAGAATGAGAGCTTCTATTTTAGACTGCCTACAGTTTTATTCTCTGCAACTATTTTTAGGCTATCAACAAAACAGGTAAGGCATCCAGTTTTATGTTACCCTTCGCTTTCATATTCATGATTAAGCATGAGATAAAGCCCGTAAAATTTGTATGTACAACGAGCAGAAACTGTCGAATGCTAAATGCTGGTATATTTATTGCCGGTGAGTTTGCAATGGAATACCGCATCGAGGCATTTTATGAGACACCTAGTGCAGGATTTAGATCAATTTGCTTTGCAAATTATAGCCAGGAGCAAATATTTTATGCATAAAGCAAACTTTAACACGAACGCAAACGAATTCTTATTTACTAAACTGTTGCTATAGCCCTGCACGGGATGCTCGTGAATTCGTGCCACAAGTTAAATATTTGCAATAACAACAGATACTTTGTTGTAAACAAATGCAAAATTTCGACAGATTTATGCAGAACTTAAGGGAGGCTCCACGTCCACTGCCCTTTCTAACAACATTTAAAACAACTTAAATCCCACATATTGCTATGCATCATTCCTCTGACGAGGACGTGCAATAAATGAGAACTGATTTCTCACAATTTGTGAAGTTCATACTTAAGAATGCTAATCGATTTATCAGTTTTGCGCCTTTTAAAGATGTTTTATGTTTTACAGTTTTGGATAGATTTGGCGGAAAAAGTACTTAGGTTTGGTTTATTTAAATACCGCAAAGCACTCCAGGGCTATTTGCCTAAGGGGAGAGGAATTTCTAAAAAAGTACTTAGGAAAGGAAAGTAAATATACATTAACTGGTTAGCAAAATTATGAAACTTGCTGACAAAATATTCTGGTTAACTGTATAAGAAATATTTATTTCGGTACTATTCCGTTTTGAGGACCGTAAAAAAATTGCGGCGAAAATGTATGCGCAAAAGCTCCAAATCTAGCAATTTTAACACTGCGCCAAATCTAGCGTACACGCTGATTTCAGATTGAATTAGTTTATATAGTTCTATATTTCTTAAGATGCCATTAAAATACTAGTTTAATTTTTTAATTCTTTTTGTGATTTTAAATTTTTTATATCATGGATTTAACAACTTTGGAATTGCCTATGACGAAAAGTGTGCAATAGAATTTTGGGTTAAAGTACAGAATCACGCACTGCTTGACGCGCATTTTAAAGAATTGCACATACTCGGTATTCATGTACACATTAACTTATTTTCACCCCCCCCCAAAAAAAAAAAAAAAACCACTCAGAATTGCACAAAAATGGCATGCGCACACCCTGGACTTTATCTATGTACACATCGAGCTATTTTCACTTAAAAGTAAAAGAAATTTGACAAAATTCCAATTGTTTTTACCCTTGTAAAAAGCCGCAAACAAATAAGTGAGCCATTCTGCACTTTTACGAGAATTTTTTCAAAGAAAAGGTATCATTCATTATAGAAAATTATGTTTGAACAACCAACGAGATGAAACTATTATTTAGCAATAACTCGATAGCGAAATATCGATGCAGGCATCCATTCAGTTAAGTTTAGCAATTTTTATATAAATTATAATAATGATCTGAAATAGTTATTTATTTTTATGCTTCCATTCAGTCATGTTTAGCCTTTTTTATATAAATTATAATAATAAAAAAGTATTATATAAAATTAACCTTTCATCTAAATTAAAACATCAATCTTAGATAGTTATTTACTATTACACTTCCTTTCTTGCATTAGGGTTGCCGTAATTATTTTTGGCAGCACTTGGCATCAACGGCCAAGTGATTTTTTACGGCGATTTTTTACTGGCGATTTTTTCTGGCGAAATCTGGCGATTTTTTACGGCCCTCAAACCGAATAGTACCTTTATTTCTAATGTCTATGAACAATACGAAGCAACAACAACAAGCTATGAACTTTAATAATTACATTTGCGTTATGTTTAATTTTAATAATATTATATTGTTGCGCATGTACGGGTGCGTTATAAATTGAATGCAGAAGTCCGATAATAGGGTTAATAAAATTTATTCTTATGAAAAGAAATATATCAGAACACTGAAATTTTTCCTCAGAGATATTCGTATAAGTATTCACAATATCACGCAGTATAATCAGTAGATCAGGGAGATCTCTCTTCGGCCTTTTATAGCTTTCAACCAGTCGCGAGATATTTCTAGTATTTTCTGCTTCTCGAGATTTCTAGAAAGCAACAGGGAGGATGGAATTACGGTTACAGCCAACGTAGTAGCCAATTACATTCATTCAATTTCAATACAAATTACCGAGATATCCATTTACTCTGTTAAATTCACGTGCCCCTGAATTTCTATTTTTCCGACATAGCTTTCTCTTAAAATTTGTCTCGCGCTGCATTGTACGGAGAAATGCAACAATTTTAATTATAATTCTACTAAAATTATCTTTCTAAATACAAAATTCGTAACAATATTATTTTAATACCCCGATTTAATTTAAATTGCCTACGCTTCAAATGGAGAGAGAACTGCATTTCTTGCAGGTGAATTTTGCTTCATTGGTAATAGTAGTGATATAATACAACAGTAACTGTAACATTAATGGTAATAAAACTCACCGTCAGAACATGTTGGACCTGTATACGATGTCATATCACAGTCACAAGTATAACTGTTCCACATCTGGACACAAATTCCTCGATTGGCACAAGCGGTGGTACTACATTTTGTCACGGGACCTAAAGACGAAAAAAAAATGTATTAGCAAAGCACTAGAGATTAGCTGGTGTGAAATATTAAAGTAACTTTCTTTAATGCATATAAAATAAATTCAGTAGATGATGTGCTTGTTTTACGTGTAAGAAAAATAAGAGTTGCGGTTTTGAAAAACAAGATTATTTATTCAGAAAAAGAAGAACAAAGATATTTATTTAAAGCAAAATATTCTAGATGGCACAGCAGACATGATAAAGAATATTTGCTCTAGCCAACACGCTTCAGAGGGTTAACTTATAAATCAAATTAAGGAATTAGAGTGAATTTGTTGTGGGGATCATCTTTCACAAAAGATTAGCTCTAAACAGAAGATTATCTTTGACCAATAGTCCAATAGCTTTGAGAATGTAAATAAACGTAAGTAGAGATAATTATAATACAAAATGTATAACAAGTACTGTTGTATAACTGTCGTATAACAAGAAATAGCTATCAGCAGTTTCAAAACGTGTCTCCAGGGAGCAATATTATCATACTTCGTACTGACTCTATAAAGTCATTAGGTTTTCTGATGCTGGAGACGGGAAAAATGTACAGTGCCTTTGCCTGGACTCGAACCCTGGATCTCTCTAATACGCGTCAAGTGTGCTTGTAGTTACATCACGATGGTATGAGAAAAGGGGGGAGAAATACTTTGTAAACTACCCCTTTTAAAGGGTGACTGGGAATGAGGGGACCCAATCGCTAAATCCTGGTGGTGACGAATTATCATCCATCACCTTTTAGTTCAGGCGCTACTTGTAGAGTCATTGGGTTTTTTGATGCTGGAGACATGAAAAATGCGCAATGTCCTTGCCGGGACTCGAACCCTGGAACTCTTGAATACCCGTCGAATGTGGTTCCAGTTACACCACGATGGAATGAGGAAAGAAGGGAGAAAATACCTTATAACTTTATGAACAACGTCACTAACCACTGAAAACGTGTCAGAGTGGTGTGAAAATGAAGAATGTGTACAACAGAAGAAGCGGGCGGTTACACTTTTTTTGTGTTCCTAGCCCCTTCGAGCCGGGTAGCGAAAACGCGCGCTTATCGCGGAGGTCGACAGTGTCTTCCGCGAGCGTCTCTCCAGGGCCGGGGGCGTTTTTGCTACTAAGCCTAAATCCATGAAATTTCCGAAGTATCAACGCATTGTTTAATAATGCTCTATAGAGTATTTAAACGGCTTATGCTTTATACATATTTTTATATATATATTTAATTACCTTATTTCGTTTAAATGCATATTTTACACATTTTATTTTTAATTACTCACCATTTTATGACTTTTAACATTATATCTGTAAACTAAATATTACTTAAAATTCGTTTTCGTATGAAAAAGTTTAAACAGGGATCTACACACAGTCCTACGTTTACTATCCTTTCACTCGTAATCCTTTTGCCGTTTTGGAGGATTTTCCGGGAATGTGAACAAACGAAGCATCGTCGCTCATTTTCTATCAGTCTCTTCCGACAAAGTTTTGGAAAAGTCAGTTATCTTTCGAATCAATATCAAATATCAGAATTCAGAATCAATATCTGAAATTTTGCATCATTTCTGCGATTTCTGCTCTGTTAAACATTTCGACGCCTTCGACATTGAAACGGTAAAACGAAAGAATTCACGTCTAACAAGATCAATTATTTTCTAAAAATTGAACTGTAAACCGAAATACTCAACGCTTTAGCGCATATAAAACTTTCTACTTACAATACACAACTCCACGTGCAAATAAAGTGCGTTTAAAGACGTATAAATAACGCCATTCGGAACATTTAGTTCCCCGTTTGTTTATATAATCCAAACACGTGTATGTGAGTCTGCTTCTCACATTTCGAGTAGAAGTCTATGTACGTATCTGAAACCATATGGACATACAGTGCCATCTTGTGGCAGAAATTATAATTTGAAAAACGTTCCAAGGTACTGGCAACAATACGTGACGTCGGTAGAAAACGCAACAATGCTCTGGCACGCCTGCGTGTCGGCCGGTAGATAAGTGTGTTCGTTGCTGGCACATATACGTGACAGTCGGCGCGAAGGGGCTAGTTTATTTCTAGATGTGAGGAACGTTATGACTACTGAATCATTCTGTGATGTAATATTGCAGCTTAAGGTAACATTGCATTAATCCCCCAAAAGTTTTCAGCGTTTTATACATTACAAAAATGCCAAGCCTCATATAGTAGACTGTCTTCTGGACACTTGTATAGCTCAGTGCCTGTGCAATTCTGTGTCAATACGATATATGATAGTATTTCCACATGGTGACATTTTTTGAAACTTCTCAGGCTATTCCTTGCTATTCCAGAGCAGTCTGTAAGGTAATTATTGACTTTTTCTAGTATTTCCCCTTAGTCAGACATTTTTCTTTCTTTTGCGCTTTTGGGGAGGGGAGCATTTTTGAGGCACCTTTACAGCTCAGTTTATTTTTGCTTTTGCGACTACTGAAACCGGTCGCCTTTATTAAATTCTTACAATTAGCTCACACTCTCCCTATATCTTGTTCCAATTTTCAATCGTTAACAAAATACTTTTTATTTATCCACTCAAGTTGAAATTCATTTTTTAAACTTGTAACTTTAGAAAGAGAAGATATCTTTAGAATTTCCGAAACAGTTTCGCGCGCTGGAGATAAAAATGTTTTCTTATTAGTCCAAAGGGGCTTTGTTCCTCCTATTGTTTTCGTTTTGCGATTTCGCGTCGATTCACTACAAACGGCGAATGACTTTTCAAATTGTTGCCACCAAATGTGCATTATATTTAAAGAAATTCAATAACGAAAAACCTGCATAAATGTATGCATATTTCTCGCATTGTGATAAAACAACTGTCCATAGAGCCATCGAATTTTGAATGATGTAATCCTCCTACGAATATTAGCATGTGGAAGACCAAATTGGAAATTTGGAATTTGTTTTATGATCGATTTTATATTTTGTAAAACTTTAACGCATTTTTGAGTAACAAACTCAAGGATTTAATAGCGAGCAACGCCAATACTTTACTGGGGGGGGGGAAGGGAGAAACCTTTTTATCTCCAGCGGAGCGGAACCATGTATTGGAAATTCTAGATAGGCTCATTTTAAAATTATTTTGCAACATTGCTATTGAACTGAATTTTATGGTTTAAGTGCAAAGAACATGATATTTAATAAATAAAGGTAACACACAAAACGTTAAAAAGACGTCCCTTTGGACGTAATTTAAAATCTAAAACCTTTCAATTTTTTTTTTTTTTTTTATATTACTTGTTTTGAAACTAAGAGAATATGTAAACTGATGATTGTGAGCTATAAATTTCATAAAGGCGTAAAAGTTATACTAAGATGTTTGCGAAACAAAAAGTATTAAGTTTTGGAAAAAGAACAAAAGTCATTCAAAACGCTGCTGGTAAAGAAAGTTTACAGAAAAGGACCATACAGTAAATCGCACATTTAAAAAAAACAAAACAAAAGTTAACAGGTTTCGCTTTATGAATAGGGAGTATTTTTTAATTGCTAAGAAAAATTGATGACATAAGGCTCTTATAGTTTTTGTTTCTCACAACATAAGGTTTGTTTTCTTCATTTTAATCTCCACATTAAATTTAAAATGCAGAAAAAAACTATAAAAGCCACTCTGCATTTACTAACAAAATCTGAGACTTAAAAATAATTAAAGTTACATATGAAGTTAAGTAGGAAAGTTAAATATAAAAATTTTCCCTAAAACTGTTTTTGCTGCATTATTTTTTACGATTTATCTGTAATTTCATTGATATTATATCATGAATAAACCGATATATCGTATTTTTACTTTAGTATGTATGGTTAATAGATTGCAAGAAAGGTTTGTTGTCGCAAACTACAGTAAATAAATTTATTACGCATATCAATAACTGTATTGTCGTCTGCTTTACGATGACCAAAAAAAGTAAACAATTATTTGGAAAATTGTATTGTTATCGTAGAGGGAGTTCACTGCACTTGAGAATTAAATAAGAAAGAATTTAGTACTTCTAATATTGCATATCTGTTTGATATCCCTAAAATTTAATGAAATCAAAGCATTTCAAGGGAAATAAAAGAAATTTTCATCTTCAAAAGTAATTGTAGTAGTGCTCTTTCATAACAAGGTAAATGCAATAGAAAAGTTTTCTGTTGAACGGATATAAGAAAGTTTCAATTCATGAGTTAAGATGAATGCTGTTTGAAATTGAGTATCAAAATTAAAATCTTTTAATAAATTTTACACATTTGGCTGTGCATTCATAGCTTTAAGAAAACCTAATAAAAGAATATTTGAGTAACATTTGCTAGAGACTAGCAATAGCCAGATTTAGAAGATTAAAGTTTTTTGATTTTACTGAATATAACACTTTGTGAAAAGTAATTTATTACTCAACAATTTTGCATAGTTTTAGCAGAAAGAAATATGCAATGAATGTGTGGAATGTTCGCTAAACATTAAATATGAACAATTAATTTAATTTTGTAGGTTCATACTCCTTTATGAGAAATATCTGGACTTAAGCAAGACTGTTAAAAATTCTTTAATAATTAACACAGATTGTTGGTTCCTAGTGAGGTAAATTATAAATTTTTATATCATATGAGAAAATAATTAATTTTCGTGCTGAAGTTATATTCAAGGATTTTGTTAATGAAAATAGGCTAGCCCTAATTTATTGATAGTAGTGATACATTAACTATTTCGTAATTGATAAGTAGTGATACATTAATTATTTCGTAATTGATAAGTAGTGATACATTAATTATTTCGTAATCTAGTAGTAAACATTTTTACATGCCACAATTATTTCCAGAAATTTTACAGCAGCTCCATTTAGTCAATTTGTAGAGACATTAGGTACATTTTAAAAAACAAGTGAGATAAAAAATTAGTATCGCCTTCGCCGGGAATCAAACCGCGGATCTCTGGATACGCTCCCAGCGCGCAGACCATCACACCATGAAGGCATACCAAGAAGGCGGAAGAAATACCTTATAAAGTTAATTCTGTTTTCTCAGTGCAAGATTGCTTTTCCTCGAAAACTGACAAGGTTTTAACATATTTCTTCAGCTCAAACAAAACATTTAGTTCTTATAAATAATAGCATTTTTACTACTTATCCTTATATATATGCTATTCTGTAGCATAAAAGAAAAAATAATACTTCAAGAACAGACAGACAATTTTCAGAAAAGCTAAAACGGAGTCGCATGAATTGCTTAAGACAGGAATTTTTCTACTTTTTTACTTCCTTGTACGAAGTAAAAAGGAAGTATTGTAATCGCGAAAAGCTTCAGGCAGCATATTTCAACGAAAATATCCACTTTGACAGCTTTCGAATGCAATTTAACAATGTTTTAGCGCGATATCTGTACGCAAGGACAGAATAAAGACTCTTTCCTCCAAAAAAACTAAAAAATGCTTTAAAATGAATTCTGAAGAAATTTTGTGGCGTCTGTACGAACGTGCACGTACGTGCGTACGTACGTATCTCGCATAACTTTAAAACGAGTAACCTCAAACGTTGAAATTTTGTATATAAGACTACTAACATTAGATGTACACCTGTATTTGGTTTCCAATCGGCCGCGCCAAATGTATATAATATATTAAAATATATCCACTCTGTTACCCCCGGCTCAGTGATCTTAGTTTCTTTACTCTTATTGTTGTAAATGTACATTTCTGCTTTAAAAATGATTGAATTATGTGTTCTTATCTTCCGGTAGGTTTTATGCCTTTAGTAATCTATGCAATATTTTAGAATTATCAACAATTTAAAGTTGTTTAAAGTGCCGCTAAAGCCTAATACTATTCTTGATGACGGCCATTGTTTGTTTACATTTGAAACAGCAGGATAGTGGATTGGCCAATCTAGAGAAACTTTGCTTCGCACACAAAAATAACCCTTCATTTTTATTTTGCCAATTAAATCATGCTTAATCCTTTCTGGAATTTTCGAGGAAATAATGTTTTAGATTTATTTCCTAATTTTTCATACAGATATTTTGATTTTTATGTATTTTTGCCTTGTCGCGAAGTGAGAGCTGAATTAATTGAATGAGAAATACTCATGGTCTGTGAAAAACGGTTTTTCTTTTTTGTTTTTTACTTTTTCTTTTATACATGGTTTAGCTTTATAGTATTTGAACGAACATGTGGAAACGATTAATAATTTCTTTAAATGATATAATTTGCGCATTCTGAGTTTATAATAAACGAAATATATACTGTTAAGTAACTAGCGCCAAAGTGTTCGTATGGTAAACAAGTGAATTTTAAAGAATGCATTTATTCTATTGTGGTTTATATGCGCTGTCGGCGAAGTAGGTTAATTCAATCTATAAGTTTAAATAAATGCAAAAAAAATGCGTATAATTTAATATTCCGTACAAGGAAGTCATTTGGTGTACACATCAGACTTTTTTTATAAATAAGAACGATATTTTTTAAAATTTTCGCAGTTTCCGGAGGTTATTGTGTAGCATAAAGGGAGTGTTTATGCTTCAAGAAAAAAAGAACATTTTCAGATAAGCTGAAAAGTTTTATGTGAATTGATTAAAACAGGGGTTTTTCTATTTCATTTCATTAATAATGAATTTTTTTCATATTTTCCAAGTTTATTAAATGTTAAATAGAAATTAATTGACTCTATTAGAAAATTTGTGAGATGTGCTTCAATTATTTTACCGTAAAATATCAACCTAAAAGTAATAATAAAAAATATCCAAGGATCACTCAACGGATTAGTTCTCTTACCAAACAAAAGCCTTCATGCGGAGATCAAATATAAAAGAAAATTCTGATGACTGGAAACAATAGCATCGCTTGTGTTTTATACGACCTTGAACCACCACATTACTTACCTGCACATCCGGCAGATACTAAAGTACTGGGCACAACGGCGTCTCTTATTGGGTCAACAGTCTCTCCATTTAGATCCAATGAGGCTAAGCACCCTTCGAATCCGTGTCTTGACTGCACTAGTTTGGGGAGAGAGGAGTACGAAGCTCTTCTTACTCCACCGAGATACAAGAGTCCATCCAAGTCGAGATGCACATTGGATCCAGTGCTTGCAACAGTCGCTATCATGTCGTCCACCATCAATGTATGTTGTTTGACCGACGGACGACCTGCAATTGCAAAAATGCTTAAAGTTTTTTGATGAAGAACGTGATCTGTGAAAACTATCCCAGGAACCTGTACGGCTCCACGCTACTATAATATATTGTAAAGGTGGCGTCCACTTTTTATAATATTAATTCCAATACTTAAAAAATATTAAAATTCAGAAAATTTGTAGTTTGTAATAAATTGCTTCGTCATCGGTAGATTATGTGACATCATTGGTCGTGTCCAGAGAACTTCTTCCAAGTCTGTATTATGTGATTTGAATTAATTTATTTGTCTTGGGAGTAAAAGATTGCTTGGAATCTGATACTTTCAGAAAGAATGATAATAAATAACTGCAAAGGATCAATTTTATAAAAAGAATAAAATATGTCTTATAAAGACTAAAATATTTTCTTAATGCTTCAATTTTTTACATGTAAGTCGTTCTCAGAAGTCGAATGTATATCGCTTAGTAATTTGGGAAATTTAGAGAATACAATTAATTGTTCTACGTTTGGAAAAATGCTGCTAAATTGCGACATTCGAAAGTTGCCAAGAGAAAGAAATAATATCAATAACTTAAGCTCATATTTTGGAGTTTCTGATACCGAGGCTTTCAACGCTTCTAGTTCATATGAACGTGTGGCGTACGAGATTTGTAGGCTTGTTCAGTCTTAACTGATAGAAATCTAGCCAGACTTCACATAGTTAACCTTGCTGTGGATAACTTGCTTTCATTTGCAATAAGCGTATTCGGCTACTTTTGACTTCCTAGTCTCTAAAGCTTGATTTTTTGTAACTGTTATTTTGTGTAGCTGTAACTGATTGTATATTGTATAATCTAAATTTGGTCGATAAGATTTCAAAAAATATTCTGATTGGTTTGGATCGATAGTGTCCGTTTAATCAAGCTTTTAACTGTATGTTCTTTTCATTTTTAATGGCGACGTTCTCTTATTTCAAAGTATGTGTAATTAAATCCACAGCCCCGTAGTCAAGTTGTTTTTCTCGCCTTTCTCAACGGACAGTTTTAGAATGTCTGAGATATTTAAACGAAACTGGATTGGCTGATAAGGCTGCGTCATTTCTTGGAAGCTCCGTCTTTCAGAGGCTATAAAATGATCGCAAAAGGAATATCGGGCTTTCCTTAAATGTCACGATGCAGTAAACTTCATACAAAAGTTATAGTAATTCTTTTATTTACTCCGGATATCTGATTTTTGTAACTGATTTTCTCTGAATAAATAAAGTTATTTTTTTTAAAACTATCGTCTGATTTTAGCTACAACTAAAGCTGATACATCAAATAATATATATATTGGTATGAGGATGATTATATATATTATATATATTGGATTGGATTATTCAATTATGACAAAGCACGCGAGGGCTGTCTGCTTAAAGGGAGGGATGCCTTCGTGGAGGAATTTCTAACAGAAACTGGCTCGTATACACGTTACACATGGGGAAAACCACGAAAACGCCCATGCAGCCAACCTGTTCGCGGAATTCGAATCTCGGACCGAACTACCAGTGTTCAGCATCTTTACCGCTCGGCCGTGGTTGGCCCCATATATATATATATATTATTTTTATATACTATAAAATAATAAAAATATATATATATAATAAAAAAGCGGTAAAGATGCTGAACACTGGT